GCTTCACCGGCAGAGTGTACGGCATACATACACCAGGCGATTGTTCTCCGCAAATATGACCGCATCTCCGTGCCACTATTGTGTCGCCGCCGCCGATCGCAACCTTCCCCGTCTCTCTGTACTTCGTCATCACCTTCCTAAGCACCCTGCCAAGTCTTCGAGGTCCCCACGCATGATTCCACACGACAGCATGAGCTCACGCAAGCACGGCCAGTAGGCCTTCAACCCTCCCACTTGCGCCCCAAGCGTCGCCGCCGCCGGCCTAAACTCCTCCGCGCTTGGTGTATCCCCGGCACCCTGCTCCTCACCCGTGAGCCCGTGAATCAAGTGCGGCACTAGCATAGCGGCGTTGGCGGCCCCGATGAGCTCTACGGTTAGCTGGGCCAGCTCCGTGTTAACCGCGCCCTCCCCCTCGTCCTCGCTCCCCCCGCCAGCGCCGCCGACCGCGGCGAGTGGGGCAGGCCCAAGCAGCCGCCGAAGCCTTAGCATGCACCAGTGGTGGGAGCGGGGGTCTTGGTAAGGGCGGGGACCTCCCGCGGTGAGCCCGAAGTCGAGGACGCAAAGGCTCTCGCGGACTTGGTCGATGTTTAGTTCGAGCGACCGGAGTGCCTCGGAGAACTCGCGTCCGCGGACCATATTCTTGAACCTGAGGAGAGCGGCCGAGCGGCGGGTGGTGTGCATAGGAGCGGGTGCAAAAAAATGACCTATAACAGCGAGGAGGTTATACGGTTTCTCCCCGCTCAAGAAAAGTTGAGAGACCGACCGACATGAAACTGAACTGATCGGTGTGACGAATTGGCTACACGACCGATGGTAGCAAGACAGAGACGCATGCCGATAGTAAAAACGATGTATTTTTATTCTACCTGATCTCGGCAGGGCGATGTTCCCGGATCAGCAAGGGGAGCGAGTTGCGCCGCTTGGCGCAACTAGCTTCGTCCAGAAAAGAAGAGAAGGAAGAGTTGAAGGACGACAGGTGCTGCGTCGGCTCCATGCCGCATTTGCTGCTGCTGCTGCCGCTGCTCGGCGCCGTGACGTCCAGCGTGATGCTGTGAAGGCGGGTCTTCTTGTCGGGGGTAAAGATAACCAGCTGGCATCGCCTCGCCTGCTCGCTGCCCCGTGCTGCCAGGGTCGTAGTGCGCCGCGGCGTCTCGTCGCGGTCGAAGGTGCTAGCCTCGCGCAGCCGCAGGTGGGAGGCGAGGTCCAGCCACTGCAGGATGTGCTGCTCGGCATGAAAAAAAGTGGTGAAGCAGGATTTTGAGGAAGGAGCAAGGGAGCTATTTAAAAACACACGTTTGTACAGTGTTTGTACAATCAAACAAAAAGAAAGACATTAACCCGTTCGAGATATAACCACAGCAGTAGTCGAAGGGGATGGGTTGAAAGCCTTTGGGCGAGCTTGTTGGAAAGCGGGACGCCATCAGTCAGAAGATGGCCGCCAGCCTGTCTCGGTTGGCCCACAGGGGAAATATAGATACATTGCGCGAGGATCAGTAGAAATGCAGGTGGGTCATACACACACGGCTGGCCGTGGACCTATCGAACACTTTGATCCTGGACTTTTGTCCAATGATGAAAGACGATGTTTCTCTGTGTTTTGTACAGTACTGTACTACTGTACCAAGAAATGGGACGAGCGAGAGAGAGAGAGAGAGAGAGAGAGAGAGAGAGAGAGAGAGAGCTTGTGTGTGAGAGACAAACGTCAAGAGAGTCTGGGGGTCCCATATTCCGCCGCACGCGTGGTGGCTTTGTCCCTCAATTTTGAAGAGTTTTCCTACATTGTAGAAGACTAATCCGTTTTATCCCCGAGAAAGAGAGACAGGCAGCGAGAGATCGAGATCGGGCGACAGAAAAACGCTAAAACGTGAACAAGACCGGCTAGCGGTTTCCATTGGCTGAGGTTCAGTTGTCGCTGTCTTGAAGACTCAAAACAAAAAGGCCGTTCAAGATGCGGAGTTTCTAACACATCGATGCCCGCATGATCTTTGGTGCCCCAAACACACCTTTCGGCGCTGTACAGCTTAGAAGAGAGCTAGATATGCATCTAGAAAACACGTAAATAGCGCCGGCGCCTGGTTTAACCTCGACTACTGTTGTCTACAGCTAGTGTACAGAAGGAAAATCACCCCGGTCCCACCCCGTGCCAGGCCGGAAGGTAGAACACGCAGTAAGATGCCAACACGCCAACACACACGAGGTCGGTTGTCAGCCAGCAGGTGCTGCTGTTCAAAATTCAAACTAAACCTGACGTAAATGATTTACATGATAATGATTCCGTGGGTTGTCCTCTCCATCAAAACTGAAGTAGGCGTCCATAAGCTAAGGCGGTGTCCTGAGAGCCGGCGTGATTCACGTGGGTAAACCCCTGAAACATGCGGTAGCTACGCCGCGTCGGAGAGACCGAGTGTCTTCAAGACCCGTTACTTCACCCACATGTCGACTGCTGTATTTGTATGAATTATTATATAAAAGCATACAGCAGTCAGCAGTAGCCTACTTGACTTGCTTTCGATCACAACTCCATCTTACCTCAACCACATTGGGCGAGAGGCTCCGCATCTCCCGTCGTCCTAGACTCGCTGTAGAGCACGACCGCGACCGCGACAGCGACTCAAGAGAGACAGGGCTGGCGAAAGAGAGGAGAGGGTGAGAGTGTGGGAGACAGGAGAGAACAGCGACGCAGCAGCACGGCAGCGGCAAGCGGCGGCGGAGAGACTACAGTTGAAAGAAGTGCGGGGCCCCCACCCCCCCCCCCATTGCCCATCCAATTTGGTTCCTCTCCGTGCTCTGCTCTGTGCACTACGCTCCGTCTGCTTTGCCTCCCTCTCGCGCAGCACGCACAATCCAGAGCTACAGGAGGACTCATCCGCCTAGGTAGACAGGTAAGAACTTGGCGAGCCGGTATCGTTCCGTGTATCTCGCGCTCGCTCTGATGGTTGCCATGAAGAGTTTTTCTTCTCCCAGTTGCGGTCCTTCTAACATCTACGGTGCCTGCCAACAGAGCGAGACCGGCAACGGGCCGGTAGTTTTTAACATCAAAAGGGATCGCCCCCCCCCCCCCCCTTGCCGGGTTTGGGG